CTCTGAAATACTAATACAGCAGTTTGACCAGTAGGATAATCAACAGCTGAACAGATCGTTGTCTCTTTTAAAAATGGCCTCAAATGAAAGAATAAATATCTAACAGTGGATACCCCTCGTTGCTCTAGACAGGTACTATAGTAAGTCTGTTTTAACAGCACCACAGGGACAGGAGCTCTACTAAGATACCTTAAGCAGCAGAAGCTCCTGCCATTCCTTTGTTCCACTTATCAGATGAGTCAGTACAAAAGAGTCTTCATTCACTTGGAAAGACTCGCAGCCATTATGATAACCACTCCTTCATTAAGACCCGTTAGAAAAATTAGACAACAAAAAGTCGAATAGTTTTTACACTCTTCAACACATAACACATGATTTCTTTAATTTACTGACTGCTTTCTGCGAAAGGGAACTGTACCATACTGTAAATGCCTAGCTGTTAAAGAATTAAAACATTTTAAGTTTTCACCAATAAGGGCTTTTTTAACTGAAAAAAAAATCCCACATTAAAAACCTCAGTTTTACTCAGTACTTTTTTGCTGTAGTCAAATTGAGGCAGCAGTTACTGTTTACCCCTCTCCTCCTCAGCCCCTCCTAGGAAATTGAATTTAAGTACAGTTAAATTATGGGCATACCACATGAAATACACCTACAGCTCATCTTCTAATTGTACAAAGAAAGACTGATAGTATAAAAGATGAATTCAGAAATCAATAAAAAATACAAAACTGTTTTCTATTAATTCCAAAAGTCTCAGTGCAATTTCAGGTAAGAATTCAGCAATAGTTTTATTTGTAGTACTGCGCTTTTGGTAACATATCAGTTTTCCTTACAATTCATACTCGAATATTCAAGAAAATACACATTTAACAAATTTTATTAGAAGATATTTTAAATTCCATCAGTATGCCGCTCATTCAGTTGGCTAGAAATTTCTACATACTGACTGTATGATCTCAAACTTCAGGAGGAAAACATGCTCATAGCTACTGAATGACAACATTATGTCAGAAAAGAAAAAAGCTAAAGGAAAGCTAAATAATGATGAGACTAAGATGAGCCACATCTTCAGACTAATTTAAGAACTATTTTTAATAAGTTTTAGGTCTATTTGCGTGAATAATTAATAACATTTCAAAAAAAACCCAAAAGTACATAAAATGTTTCCTGTTTAGGAAAGATTCTTCACTTTTCTTTTTCCTGACAAACACCTACAAGATACTGCACATTCACAGGCACATCAATAAAAAGTTCATCATTCATGGCTGGGCTTCGCGAACAAAGATTTAGGAAAGGCTCTATCCACATTTGTTACAAGCACGCTGGTGGCTAACAAGGCCAATGCAAGACAGACATATCCGATTGCAAAAGGTACAACAGAAAGACTCCTTAGGAGGTATAACTCCTTAGGAGGTATAATCAATAAAAAGTATATTTAAGAGTAAAGGTAAACCTTCTTTATGAGCAGATTCTCTGCAAAGGAATACATTGAAATGTTAATAATTATCCATGCAAGTCAAGAGCACTTTTTATTAAATACAAAGAATTAATACAGTTTAAAAGTCCTGTATATAAAAACTGCATATCTATCATATTTTATGTCTATTTTTTCCCTTATTCTCTCAGAGAGAGATCCCTCCAAATTTTTTTCCATTCAAGCATGTCTTCCATCCTCATGGCATTCAAAACAGAGAAAAGTAAGATTCTTTCCAAAGAAATTAATAAAATATATTAAAAAAAAAAATCTAAGCCACGAGGTCACTAGAAAAGAAAGAAAAAGGGATATTATAAGAATAAATAGATTTGCAGTAGACAAATACTGGCTTGAGACAAGGGAATACCAAGAAAACATACAATTTCAAAATGCTACTTCTTCCTCCTCTTCAAGGAGGTCCACAAGATCAGAGGAAGCACAAAGGAGTTCTGTTGAAAATGGAAGGTAAAATAACCTGTAATCCTAATAACAGTTTCATTATTTGCTTTCAGGGAGATACTGCAGGAAAACAACCTCATTTTCTTCCAGAACTATTCATTGCCATGTTAATGCCACTCCCTCCTCCCCATGCCATCTCCAAACACGGTGGGATTTCACAGGGGCTACAGGAATTTTATCCCTTAAGCATCAGGTTATTTCACACTAAGCACAAGTCAATTTGCAGCATAAACTGAGAATTCAGAAAATAATGGTTCTGCTTACAAGAGTGGGAAAGAAAGGGAGTACTACTCCCTTTTCTCCAGTTGCTTCTGAAACTGTAGTAGTCACTTGTTATTAATATACATGAATACATGTAAACATGAGAAGGGGAAGCACAGTTCTGTACAATTAAATGCAAAATACCCAGTCCACACAGTTATAAAGCTATCAACCAAACTACAAAAAGGTTGTCTGAATAAACAAAAACTACTAAGGAAAAGATTACTTCATTGTAATTAAGAAAGTCTGCAAATGTGGATTTTTAGGGACTTAAAAGCCAGAAGGCTTCAGACAATTGTGACTGCTAGTGTGGTGAGTAATTATGTACCAGAGAAGCCTCCCATCTGCTCACAATTACTATACTTGAAATTTCTTCCAGCAGTAAAAACTACTTTTATACCTCCTACGATAGACTCTTCTGCAACTTGCACACTGAAGATCACTTCCTTTAATCTACTCTTGCTCTGACAAAAGTACAGCACTGCCCGTAAGGCAACACTGTCCTCATGGATAGATCTAGCACAAGATTTTTTAATATCTCATGTTCTAGGAAGGATTAGCTGCTTCCTGAATTTATCACTTGGTCCACCAATTTTCCAACACTATGTTTTGCAACTGTTCATGTGACAAAATTTCTTAAATCCATGTTTGATAGTAAACAAGCATCTTATGGAAAATTAGTAAACCAACTGCCACAGATTACATGAGAACAGAAAATACATAATACTGCAACTTTTTTTCTTGAAGAATCTTAGACTGCTTAACTTCCTGGGCTTGAGGACCCAACTCCTGCAAAGATGGAAAAAGAGACTGCTGCAGCAAGGTAAGGAATCAGCAATTTTTTCAACTTCTAAGTAGAAGATAGGAAAAAGAATATTTCTTCTCAGTGAGCCTTTACCACAAGCCTCAAGTGTGTACCTGAGAAAGGCTGAGAAAGGAGCTTTCAGGGTTCTGTATGTGCTGGGGCAGGCTTTCACTTTTGAATAAAAGCAGGTTACTGCAAAAACAGAGGACGTCTAAGACAAGGTTCTTCATAAATATTGATGAAGCTCAGTAAGTCACCAGCTTTATCTTTATCTTACTTTATTCAGTAAACAAAAAGGTATACAAAGTTACATTCACTAAGACATTTTTTTACCCAAGAAATATTCCCATTAGGGTTCCTACCTCTGAGAAGCACTGCCTAATTTCTGAAGTCTGAACTAGAAATTACAGCTTTATTCTTACCTCCAGTACACAGCTCCTTTCCAATTTTAGATAGTTACACCTTGGTTTTCACAGCTTGGTACAGTCCCTAACTTGTGGGTTGCCATTACCCATTAGTTAAGTACTTAGGATCTCAGCTTTGCACTTATTAGCTATTTCACTAGTCTATCTAGGGTATGCTGACAATTTATAACTAAAAAAAGAACACCCAGACATCATATTCTGATGACATTCTCCAATTAGCAAGCATTTAAGACTCAACATTTTGACTAGCCATCTGCAATTTTATCTTCCATCTATGAAGAGGAATAGACCACGTCATGTCTTGCAAAGAGCTGTCTCTAAAGATTCCTGGTTGCAAAGCATTCATCCTTAGAGCATCAAAAAAATTTTCTATATCAATTGAACATATTAGAAGGTAGGTTTCACCAGAGAAAGCCTTTAAAGAACATAAAAAAATGTTGAAAGCTACTAAATTAGAGAAACCCTATCCAGGCCACTGCAGCAATGAACATACGATCCTGAATTTTAAGTAAAAAAGTGAAAGTGGTATTTAAAAAGTATTAAAAGTCATTATAATGCACACACATTCAAGGCAACAAAATGAAAGTGGTATTCCCTGACTTTCAGACATGACTTTTAATCTTAAATAGCATTTTATACCAGTTTAAGCATAACTAAAATCAGTCACAAAATGCAGGCTGCCTTTGCTAAAAAAACCACCTGAGCATGCATGTAAAAAGCCAGTTAGTAGCCCATTTATACTATAAACTTCTATAGTAGTAAAAAATGGGAAAATATCTAACTACATGACCTACTCTAGGAATTAAAGGAACATTTTCAAGGAAAAGATATAAGGTTTTTTTCCTAGGTTATAACTGATTTAGAGAATATCTGCACTCACTTTCCTAGTTTAAGAAGCTTCACATCTTGCTAACTAATTATATGCAGTTTTGTGAAAGGCACAAAAATATGTGAGAAGTTTTAGGTATTGCTCACCTATAAAAGCAAAAGGTGACAATTGGATCATTCAGGCGACCATCATAAGAGTACTTCTGGGTATAAAAGCACCAAGGGGAGCGAAATGAGAAATTCAAATATTAAACTGCATTTAAACTTTTTACAGAAGTATCTAAGAGGTTTAAAACTAGCAAGCAGCAATATATACTGTACCAACGAAAGTGAAGTAAAGCTAACTTGAGTCTGAAGCTATTGAAGTATCACAGCAACTTTAAATAAAAATATGTGATTAGTAATCAGCAGTTTGGAGATCTGCAGTGTTTATTCAAAGAGAATGCACTGGGAATAGTCTCAGACTACTTAGTTTAAGGCATACCCATATGCAGACAAACGCTGTGACAGCCAAGGTTCATTAAATAGTCAGGATTCCATAAACACATTTTAAATTAAAGAATAGAACAAAAATGTGTTACAACACTTGAAAAAAATTATACATTAATCCACTCACTCATGGGGCTTCTTTCTGCTTTAAGTAACTAAGAACACTTTATAAAGTAGATTTATACCCTAAATCCAAAAACTTCTGTCAAAAATTGAGTCTGGATTACATTACAGTAAAATGCGTAACACTCCTTTTTACCTCCAGATCCTAGCTGCTTGTAGAATCTGTATTCCAAATGTAGCTGTGGTGCTCTCGACTTCATTGGCTCCTGATTTAAAAACAAAAACAACATTTAAAATAAAGCCTAAAAACTAATATACTAACTTACTACCAGCCAAACTAGCCCTGCTGTTTTCAAGCCACGTAGAAAGTTTGAATGTTTTTTCCAAAATTACTGGTAATTAAGAAACCAAGAAAATGAAGCCTCCCTCGGGTGACACTAGTGCATAAAGGGCCAATTATAACTTGCATGGCTCCACTGGACCGGCGTCCAACATGCAAACCAAAGCACAGACCCACAATGGAATACCTAAAAAATAGCATGGCACTCCAAAGCATGTACATGTTATGACTTGCAGTTCTCAAAAACTGACATTGATATGCAACTTAACAGCTTGAAAAGACTCTCCAAAAACCTATTCCACAACAAATGTATCCTTATTAAAAAATGTTTTATCCTAGGATCTTAACAAAAAATACCGAGTCCTTTCACCAAATAGTAACAAGCTTAGCAGAAACTGAGTATCACCATCCTAAACTATAAATCCAAAATAAAGAAAAGCCCCAGAATAAGTTTGTAGTTTAAATCTTGCCTTTTTAAACATAATTTATGTACACTAATGAAATCTTAGTTCTGTGTTCGACATGCTAGCATGTCAAGTCTTATAGATCAGCACTCCTAGGATGAAGCACAGGAACACACAAATAACCTAAATGAAAGCCCTAACTTCTTGAGTATCTCCCTTTGCAAATTAAAGGTACTTTACCACAAGATTCTTGAAGTAATTTCCTAAGGCATCTTTTGTTTAGTTTCTTGTGATATGTAACACAGTCTTAAGGTTAAGCTGAGCCAGGGGAGATTTAGGTTGGACATTAAGAAGAATTTCTTTACTGAAAGGGTGATTAGATATTGGAACAGGCTGCCCAGGACTGGATGTGGCACTTATTGCCAGGGTCTAGTTGACATGGAGGTGTTCGCTCATAGGTTGGACTGAGTCTCAACAGTCTTTTCCAATCTAATTGATTCTGTGATCTTCCAATGCACCAGTGATAATTTGGACATTATCTGTGCATTACATTACACAATCTGTTACTACTAGAACTGCAGCACATACTTGGTAAGTCTTTTAATATAGCTAGCAGCAATAACTGATAATGCCGGATGTCAATTTTCTGGAAAAGTTTGGGCAAGGTGCTCATCATTTTCCTCACACAATCTTCTCCAGAAGCTATGAGTTTATCGACCTGTGTTGTTTCCTAATGTCATATCCAGGGCATAAGAACTATGAGCTCATGTGCAATCATGAGAAACTTAGTCCTCTTTCTCAACCCATCTCATTCAAACACTCTGGTGTTTCCAATTCCTGTCAAAGTCCCTGTCAGTAAATCGATGTTGCCAGGATGCCAAAGGTTGATGCCTAAAAGTAAAGAAAGACCAATGTAACAGGTTCTGCAAAAAAGAAATAGAATTTACTATATGCTTTTTATGCTTCAGAGCATTCATCATAGCTGAACACTGTCATCCTTTCCAAAGAAGTGAGAAAGAACTCTCTAAAAAAGACAGTGTTTATCCTTCAAAAAATTAATTACTAAGCAAGACTACCTGGGCCTCCAGACAATTCTAGTTAAAATTCATGAGAAGCACACATGAAATTTATGATCAAGTATTGAAGACAGATATTCTCAAACAAAACTCTTTACTGTAAACGTGAGCCTAAGCAAATCAGTGCAACAATCAACCTTTAGTACTCAGCTTTCAGAGGTATGAGTAAATCCATTATAATGCATCTATTTAAACATTTTAACCGTTCACAAAACTACGCAAATTTAGCTACTAGTTTGCCTGCAGCAGTGTTATAAAAGTCTGTTAGTTATAAAATAAATCACTCTCTACATAGTGTCTAATTAAAAGCTGTGATTCTGCCTGCTATAAGGAAAATATTTTATTCCACAAAACTCTGCATGTCTGCTGATTATAATAACACAAGACACTGGTTTAATTAAGTTTAACTTTGTTCAATTATACAGTTTTGCCTCAATCGATAGTACGTTAACAACTTAATAGCCTCTCAATGCTGTAAGATGGTCCCATAAAAAGGATGAAAAATAGTTTGTATGTATTAAATTTACAAGAATAAATGTACACAAAAAGTTGTTTTAGGGAAAAGAAACACCTTCCAGTTTTTGACACACACATCTACTTCTTCATGAGCACTGTGTGTTCTGGTCATCTGCAGGAAACAGTCCTGATAAGCCTCCAGAAGGCAATGTTCTCAAACAGTCAAGCAAGTCTACTTGACAACTACATAACAGTCAAAGACTAAAGTTAAACTTTGAGGGACAATTAAATAATTTTACTCCCTGTAGTGAAGGGGAACAAAATGTGGTAATATGTACTTGCATTCCATTTACTAGATGGCAGCCTTTAGGAATTGCCTTATTTTTGTAAGGACGTTTAGATATCTTCCTGTAACTCCAGACATGCAAAAGAAATACATCAACTTGTTCAACAAAACATGTGAAAGGGCAAGCATGATAAGCTCTTCACCTACAATTTTCTTTTCTACAAGAATAAAAAAAGAAATGGCAAAACACGATTCTTTATTTTCATTAGTGTTTTGGTACATTTCGGCATGTAAAAATAAGCTTGGGAACACATAACTCTTCAAATATCATGTTAATCTCAGAGGACTTTGAAGTCAATTTCTCTGCTTACCAAAAGAAACTAGTGTATTTTGTTTTACTTACATAAACTCAGGTCTTCACTAAAGTATCCTGAAAGAACTGTTCTGAGATTTGCAATGTTTCTGTAAATGACCTTCCCTACACTGCTTTTATATTCAACTCTAATTATTTCAAAGCTTCAGTATTAAAACCTAGACACCTTCTTTTCTCTGCAAAAGATCATTTCTCTCTTAACAAGGGACACGGGATCTTGCTCCCATCAAAGAATCAATGGGCAGTTTACTAAGCCCCAGTTACCTGAGCAACAGAAACAACAGCTCCTCAGTTTATCAGACAGGGTCTTCTGAGCCAAGTTTTTTCCTTCCTATTTTTCTTTTGTGGGATGTTTATATGTTCAAATAAAAGGATAAAGACACCTGAAATGTGAAATCTGTTTCAAGTCCATGATGTATTTTTTCACAACTATTTTTGTCCCAAATACTTAGGATAAATTACTATACCATTTTGAAGACGTCACTGCCCTTCTAAAGGGCTCTGCAAAAGCAGTGTACTTGAACTGTAAGGTCTGAAGTTTTCGAGAACTCTGATAACCCAAAGCACAATATCAATAATCAGCTTTTCATGTTTTTAAGTCAGTCAGTGGGAACTCCTGCTCAGTATATGGGCATACACATGGGCATACACATGGGCATACACATGGGCATACACATGGGCATACACATGGGCATACACATGGGCATACACTGGGAACTACTGCTCAGACTCTCTGCCTCACACTTCCATAAGCAATGGCAAACAAAAACTATTTTCAGGTAAAAAATTCTTTTGTTACAGGAAAAGACCAGTCTCTTAAACAGACATGCACTAGGATTTAGATTTACTACAACCTCCTAAAGAGATGCTGAAAAGTATCATTCTAGACTGTGGTAATTTCCTTGAAACCAAAAAAAGGAGGAAGAAAGCATTCTAATCTTGAAACCAAGTGCAATCTTCTTTCCAAACACACCTCACTTATTTTAGCAATTCAAATCTTAACAGCGGACTAATGAATCAGTGCCTTAAAGATTACAGTTTAAAGGCAGCAATGACTACTTTGTAACTTGCTATCTTTCACACAAAGAAAGAAAAACTGACTTATTTCCAGAAGCAGCTCTGTGGAGGACCAGGTATAACCATGTTTCGTCTCAAACATTGTGACCGTTATAACAGAAAAAGTGTCATTGGAAGAGAGGGCCCCATGGAGGTGGGGCAGCGCTGTTCTGAGCCACCTTCCTGCTCTCCCTGAGACTTGTGCTCAGTCCCGCGCCTCAAGTCACTCCCCGGAGAAGGGCTTAAAGGGCTGGCTGTGCATGCATGAACTAAACGGCAGGAAAGGTCTAGTTTGCACAAGAGCCTGCACAATGTTAAGTATAAAAGGAGTCAGACTGGCCCCTCTCACTCTCTTTCTCATTTTGTCATGCTATCCCAGCTCCAGACCATCCACACAGCAGGACCAACACAGAATCTACAGACAAGTGAATTTCTTTTTTCTCTCTCTTTTCCACCTTTATTTCTCTCCTCCCTTGCTTTGCATGGGAAAAGCACAGCTATCATATTCTACCCCATACTGAAGTTTGTTGTGGGAGTGGTGAGTTGTGGAAGTGTGCTGTGGGTCAGTAGCCAGCACCTCTGAGAACTGAAATGGAGTGTTGTGGTTTGTGAGCCAGCACGTTTGAGAAGTTTGCTGTGGGAGTTGAGAGCTTATTGAAGTGTACTGTACAAAATTAGGGGCTTGTTAGCCACCGCTTTTAAGAAAAGTATTGTAAGAATTTAAGGGCTTGTTAGCCAACACCTTTGGAGTCGAAGCAGTGGGCTGGTTGCCAGAATTAAGGCAACTGTACAATGAAGCACAAGAGCTCCCTGACACATGACCTGGTGTCTTTGTTCAGCCCAACAAGGATTAACAGTAAACATCCTAGCCCCTACTGGTGGATCATGACAAGCTCAAGCAGAAGTTGTTTCTTTTAGTTGGTATTTTTTTAGTGTTTAAGTGTCCTGCAGAGGAGGTAAGTTCGGGCAATGGAGAAACCTGTCGAAGGGAGAAAAGAATGAAGGAGAGAAAAAAGCTGAATAGGAGGTTTAAGTCAAATACAGGGTCATGTAATAAAAGTAGTGAATCTAACAATAAATAAAGAAGTGAGCAGGAAAGGTAGGGTTCATATATACCAAATAGTTACTGCTAAAGGACTACCCAACCATAAGAAATCAATTTGTATACTAATAGATCAGCAGAAACATACAAACACCACTACACAGTGCACAACTGATAAATTCCAGCTCTTAAGAGTCTCATTCTAGTTCTTAAAATAGTCTATTCTAACCTAACTTGAGTATCTCCCCAACCAGAACAGACCATAATGAAAGAAGCCGGATTAAGAGTAAGATTCTGGAACTGTAGCTGTTTTACCACAATAAATAATGTATTTACATATTAACATTATACATTAAAATGCATACACTGTATGACCCTTGGGCCACACATAGAAAAAATTATAAACTATTTTGTTACGCAAGTCCTGAAGTTGCCACAAGCATCATTAAAAGGAACATTCTTGTATTATTTCATCCATGAGGGAAATATTAATTCAACACAATGAAAAGGTTAAGTCAAAACAGTCAAACGCTTACTTTAACATTAGAAGTACTCCTGAAAGCTGCTGTATAAACCCAGAGAAACCCACACAGTCCTCCTGTACTGGTATATAAGGTTACCATTGATACACAAAACATCAGGTATAGGACATGTCTTGCTGCTCACAAGACAACAGTAGGTCAACAATGGAATGCTACCACAAGGAATTCAAACACAATTTTACGATACAGCTGGAGAGATTATCACAACCATACCTGCCAAGAGTAACTGCTCAAACTGTAATACATACACAATTGAAGTAACCCCATTCAAGAAGGCTAAAGTTGAACTACAACAGATGCAAAACTGAGAGGAAATTAAGTGTGCTTCATTTAGGATAACAAAACAAAGACTAGGCATAGGCTTAACGACTGCTTTCAAAGCACAGAACTAGTAAGTGCCAGAGAAAAACTCTAAGGTTTACATTTCAAAAGGGCAAGGATGGTGTGCCTCGAGCAAGTACAACCTACCTAACTGTTAGAATAAAGTCCTGGCACTGCCTCAAATAGGAGAAACAGAGTAAGTGCAAAATCCAACTAAATCCTACAGTTTGATGCAGTGCTTTTAAAAGACTGAATCTTGTGACCAAATCCTTTCCAATTTGGAAACAAGTTTAAAAGATCTGAAAGTTATACTGAAATAAAGCAAACCATGGAGAACCATATTAAAAGAACCCACTAGTTCTACTGGCTAATAAATGTATTTTTGTCTTACAATGATGATGCAAACTCCAGTGTTGATTTTCACTATGATTCCTTCCATCTGCTTTTTATTGCAAAGATACTACAGCCTTTCACAAGCTAAGGTAAGAGGACAATTCCAAAAGTTAACTTCATATTCAGAGTTCTTTAAGCAGTAGTAGTAAATTACACACATGTTTTACTATACTGGTTCTTTTGTGACTTTAAGTTACACAAAAAAGTTACTTCAAGCTTTTTGATCAGCTGGAAACAAACAGCTATAAGATTGAGCTATTGGGAAACCAATACAGTAAGTGTTGCTACTGAACAGTATCTTTTGACAATTGAAATGGGTTTAAATGGTAGCCAAGTTTACTAAGTTACATATAATAAAAACGGTTTTACCAAAACTGATCAGATTAAAAAAGTTCTCTTGCTCTACATCAAGTAACTAGTGTTCTAAAAAAAAATCACTGTCTTGCAACATATTTCTAAGTACGCTTTGTAGTAAACTGGCTTTAGCTAGAAGAATTCTCAAACTATTTTCAAGTTGCACTGGATGTACAGAATAAGTTCAAGAAACATTAAAACAAAATGAGTTTTAATCTGATATAATGCATAATAACTCTCAAAACTGTATCCAATGTTGCTATTTCAAACCATAACTTGTATGTTTTTAAAACTTTAACTACTCCCAAAGTAAATATTTTACTAAGCAAGGACAGTGACAGGAGTATTTTTCAGAAGCTTATTATGTTTGTAATGATTTTTAGATTTCTCATCTAAAGCCATGCATTTCTGTTTCCACATACCTTTCACTTTATGAGACCATACTGTACTAAAAAAGTTCTGTTCTACTGCAGCAACAAGAAATTAACTGGAGTCCTAAAATTCCTTCAGTGATAAAAAGTAAATAACTGAATTTCATCGTCAAATACTTTGGTTATGAAAACAGTAATTTACCAAGAAGTTTAAAGTATCCAAAAGCAAACTATGACATTACAAGAGTAGTTCTGATGAAAGATTGAGAAAAGCAGAACAAGAATACATTAACAAAACACCCAAATTTACCACGTTTCCAAGTGAAAGAAACATTACACAACATTGCAAATAAAACGTGTCCACCAAAAGTGATGTGCAAATACCAACAGATAAAGAGGAAAACTGTTTGGAGCAGGAGTAAGGGCATTAAATTACATGCAGTCTGCAGAATTGCTGGAGTTTCTCTCTAGTCACTTGATGTCAGATTCACATTTAATTTGTTGTTCCTCTACTTATTGGACAACAAAGGAATCTACTAAGATGACTGTCAAGTGTATCCTTGAAGCAGCTGTAAATCATCAGACTTTGCAAACACAGATTTAGCCTTGAGAACAGTGACAGCAATTAAACACTGGTTTTATTCAATATGACCAACATATACAATTACATCTATCACTGACTGCTTTTATCTATTTCGATGAAATCATACAAGAGTATTCAAGATTTCCATTAAAGAAATCAAATTATTATATATATGAAAGGAAAAATTTGATTAGTTTTTCATCCCAAATCCTTTAAAAAAATATTAACTTACCAGTTTAATTGCCACATAGTCATTTGTGTATAAATTTTTTCCTTGAAAAAAGAATAAAAACAAGAACGTGAGACATTGGCTTTTCTGTTAAAGTAAAATGCCATTTAAACATCAAGAAAGTCTTTGAAACATTTTCATCTAAGGTGCTAGGTGTTCTGGTAGTGACTTAAGAAATGTAGCTTTATTAGTCTAATACCACAGAGAGAACTTTTTTCTTGAACAGTGTAAGAAGTGGCAATTTCACTGAGAGTTTCAGCTATGTCAGTAAGTTTGTAAAATTTTTATGTACGAAAAAAAGTTTGAAAATTGATAAATTACTATAAATGGAATGTGATACTCCATGTTTTCATTTTTATTGCTATTTGAAACTTACTTTAGTATTGTCATATGATTTTGAAACACCAAAGTTCAAATTAATTAGGACTTTTCCTTTCCTCAGTTCTGTAATTTACTAAGCGAGAAGTTAGGACAAGACAAGAACATTACTGATATGCTTACTCCATTTTGAAAATGCATTTGCTGCTTTAAAAATGATTCTTTAACTGGATAAGCATATTTCAACAAGCACTAATTCAAATGGTATGCAAAGATTAAAATGCTATAACAAGCTTTATAGGTGTAAAATTAAAAACAGCAAATAAAGGAAAAAGTAAGGTGTCACTTCCAGCACTTTTTGTTTCTTTACAGCCTTCAAATGCATTTAGTATATATTATTTTTAATGGCAATTCTACTTTTTTTCTCTGTAATATTACTCAGGTCTGAATTTGCCATGTTAAGCTCAATTTTGTTAAATAAATCAAACAGGGAAGAGACATGGACCAAGATAAAAAAGTTCCTTGTAAAGACAGTTACACAGAATCACAGTCACAGAATTTCTGAGCTGGAAGGGACCCACAAGGATTATCAAGTCCAACTCTTACATGAATGGTCCGTGTAGGGATTGAACCTGCCTTGGTGTTATCAACACCATCCTCTAATCGAGTTGCACCGATAGTCAAAAACTACAATTTCAGGTCTGACTCTTATTTTAAAAAATAGAGTACTCTTGTAAAGCTGAAACAAGACACAACAATATCACATCTGTTAAGAGATCAACTTTACCAAAAGCAAGTTACCTGAGGGCTGCACAGTAACAGACACATAATCAATATGAGCAGCATGCCTTAACTGGACCACAATATGGTGTGTAATTCCAAGACCTTTCCAGGGACTAGAGTAGAAACACAGGCATCTTAAATGGTTCTCTCTTATCTCATGATCATTTCAGTTACATTTTTGTTAAAAAGCGTACTTTGTTTGAAGTGGCCTCTGTGTCTCTGCACGGTATTACACTCCATAAGATACTCACAGAAACTCTTGCAGGAGCCCTGCTCACTCTACCTATTAGATATATAAATCAGCTACTTGGAGTAGGTAACAAATCCAGTTACAGTTAAGTAACTGGATACAGGGTTACAGTAGCCAGATGCTGTAATGACACATGTATTCTCAAGTAACATCAGAAGGTACCTTAACTTTCTATATGGTGAATCAAGACAATTGTCGCTTTAAAATATGGCAAAGAGCAGATTTGACACCCCTGTTGATCTGTCTCTAAACACACAACAGGTACTGAGTAATACATCACAATAGCAACAAGCTTTCTGTTACTAATCCATCAGTTTATCTTAACTATAACTCAGAAGACCCTTAAAATTAACAGCCCAATATTCAAAACAACTTAGTCTTTTTCAAGGTTGCAAATCACAGTCATTTGCTACATTTTTATTGCTACCATTTGGATCCACAAGTCACTACTGAAGTCTGACAGTTGCTTTCTTGTCAAGAGGAAGAACTACAACAGCTACCAATTCATAACTGAATTTCTGTCTCCTGAGCACAACTTCACCGCTCTAACAACTTTATTCCTCCTTCAAGTATCTCAGATTTGACCTTAAACACATGCTCAAATATTCCCATTTGCATAAGTATACGAAACAAAGTGCTTGTGTGCATCTTTGTAGAAAAGGTGCCCACTAAATACTTGCTACTGTAGCAACACAAATGAAAAAAAATAACAAACAAATCAGAATCTATAATACCAATCTTAACTCCTGCTTTCAGTAACTTACATTTAAAACATCTTACCTCACAAATAATAATAAATAAGAATTTGGCAGCACTTACGAGTATAGAGGCCATGTTGCTGAGAACACAGCTGCACTGGGCAGGACACGTCTCCAGGATGAAGAACCACCACCTCCCTAAGATCTGCTCTATGGTGAACTTGCCACCGGCTGCCGTAAGAGAGGAGCCCCGAAGAGGAGATACAAGGACTCCCTGAAACTTCTAGTATATATGCAAAACCCACAGACACTAAAATGAGAAAGGCTGCCCTTGTCCTGGTGACTGCTGCAGGACAGTACACTGCCCTATTATCTTCCTCCTATTTCTTTTACTTCCTTGTTCTATTTTATTTCAGTACTGTCAGACTATGTGTTAGCTAAATTAATATTGTATTTAAAATGAAAGATTATTTCACTCTGTACCTGCTGCAAACAAATGAGTTAATCTGATATTAATTTTTAATTAACTCTGTATGCTGTGACCAAGATGAGAGACAGGAAAAAATTAACTTTATTAGTTTGTAGTTACCTTTATGTAATACTAATTCTTCTGGTTTGATTTAGTTCACGAAGAGGTTTGAAACAAAAATTATCATTCAAAGCCAGTATACAAAAGTTATGGAAGACTGAAAGACAGAGTTTCAGCTTGACTTGTGGACTGCAAAGGCACATATGTACCAATGTAAAGGTCAAAATGTATCAATCTTGTTTAACTATTACTAGAAATAACAAGAGTAGCTATTATTGCGATTGTTAAATTCAGTGTCCTCAGTCAGAGCTGAAGCAATATTGTCTTTAATCCCTCTACAGTATTAATTTGCTAAACTTGTTTACATCCTGACAGCCCTCAGAATGCCCTATATTAAAACAAGTTATATTTTATGCAAGCACTATATTAGAAATACTGCCTGAAGGACAATGAGTAGTAGTTGTCCCACAGGCAAAGATGAACAGAAACAACACCTACATAGCTCACCATAGTCTCAAATATCTAACTTTGAAACCCACCCCTCTTTAAAGCTTGAAGCACTGCATTAACTCAAGCCTTTCAAGAATAGTGGAATAAATTCTTGCCATTAGGTGTCAAGTTAATTTGTTAACACATACAGAATTCACACACCTTGAAAACCGTGGCTAATCATGCTGTCCATCATGGAAATCCAAGTCTCCAAAATTAAATATACAGTCTTCCAAACAGATACAGTTAGTGTCTATGTTAATAAATGGTAATATTTCCAGCTTTGCTGGCCAAATTCTTCAAAACCCTATAGTCCCTTCTCAGTCTGTGCTTTCTCCACCATTTGATATTCAGCCATCTGTTCAGTGGGGAACTGAAGTGATTTAATTATTCATCTCCCAAATTTTCTCTACAGATGGATTTTCACTGCCCATGTCTAACAGCATTTCAGTGTTTGGCCTGACTACACTAGAAAGAAAAGGAAGGAATCCAAGTGCTTGCTGCTACTAAAAACGCTGTAGCATCTGCCACAGTATCTCAAAGAGATCTGCAAGACCACAGTACTATAAGCTGGACTTACAGGAGAAGGACATGTCTCACATATATCTAGTATCAAATACAAATGAATAAATTGCTTCAGGAAGTCAGAAAATACAGAAAACTACAATAATCATGAAGTAACTTCCAGCACCTTGGAAGAGACAACTGACTGAATTTAGGATAGCACTGCACGTATTTAGAAAACATTTTTAATCCCAGAAAGTTTCCTGCTACTGAGATTCTTCACAAGCCACAGAGCTTGCACTGGTAGGGTAAAGCCACAAAAGATGGATTAAATTTGCCTTGCGCATCTGAAGTTTCAAAGCAGTTTGCAAAGCTGCGTGGTGTATTCATACAGAGATTTTCATGTTTACCCTGCATAAAATGGCCTTGAATAATGTAAACTGAAATACAGAAACAAGGATCTTACCTAGCCGTAGTTCTCCAAAATTACCGCATCCAATTTTTTTACCAACTCTGAAGTTAGGGCCAACCATTAACACGCCAGAATTTGAAGAACCAGTTCCACGTGTATTATGGCCTGATCTCCCACTAGGCCGTGCCATTCTTTCATCTGGCTTATCTTTGTCTTTATTTTTATTCTCCATGTCAAGTTTACGGTACTCCACTTTGATATCTTCCTCTTTTTAAAAAATCAGTACAAGCAAACTCCAATTGGACAATGTAAGAATGAAAACATCATGAAGAAAGTGCCCAGCTGGTTACTGTCAGTAAGCAGTCAACAGCAACATGTTCATCCTGTTTGCAAAGCCTTGGTAGGATCTGTAGTAAAAACGTATCTCCAGAATGCACTACATCAGCAACATTTACTAGTATTTACAGGAATTCTGTTAAAAGAAAAATAAAGTTATTCTTGTACAAAATTATCTTTCCCTTCAACCAGTCACACAATTAAGCTATAACTAATTATATTTGCTTTACAGATCTATGAAAAGCACTTCTTTAAAATTAAAGCCTCTGATTCTAGGATGTAATAGCAAGAGATATTGGTGTGACTGAAGTGTGATAAAAAATCTCAACACTTCATACATCAGATATTAAAAAAAAAACCACAACAACAAAAACACCCTACAAAACTACTTCCTGAACAGATAAACACACTTAAAATTGACACTTAGACTCTCAATCCATCTTACGACAGCTCTGCAAAAGAAAGCATTTTATTTAAATTTTTTTCCCCCTCAAGTAATATCTGCTGTTTTAAGAACATGCTCACATTGCAGTTATGGAAGTTATATAAATATATTATCTTTTCCAAATTAAAATTTCTGAGATGCACATTTATAAACCCATGGCAAGGGCGCTTCAGTTTTTTCAGTAACTCCTAGAATCTAAAAATAAAATATATTTACTTATTCTACCCTACCACACGTAAGTCATAAATTTGTTTCCCCAGTCCCCTTCTCCACTGTTTAGCATCATTGACTAGACACTAATTCCCACACAAACTTCAGCAAAAGCAATGTTATCTTACTACTGCAGTAAAGAACCCCAAGAAAACTTGGGATATTGTTTCCTATTTAATGGTGTGAAAACACATAATCCACGAGGCAGTTGGCTACTACATAGGCAAAATTTCAAGACAAGTTAAATACCTGTCCAAAATTATTTTGCTATCTTTGCTTCAGTGTTGGGAATACACTGCTGTAAAAGAAAACATCCTCTGAAAAAATGCATTTCATGTGCTACAGCCTATTTTAAAGGTAGTCACCAGGAGCTTATTTTAAATACTTTGAGCTGAAGACATTTTCATTTCTTAAACCCATTTCTCACAAAGTAGAATTATTACTTGCCTCATAGCTTACTACATTTCAAAAATCAAAGAGCAAGTAGAGAAAATATACCAAATAATATGAACAGCCACCTGAATAATTGCATCTGTTGAATCATATGTACTCATACCATGATTAAAACTAAATGATATTTAAAAAATCATTAATCAACAGCCAATTAACCTGTCACCTGAACAGTGAAGTACATGGAAATTTGTTTGGCAAAGAATTTCCAATGACCACAATACTGTGAAAGGGAAAATGAAATACTTGTTCTGAGAGCAACTAAAAAAAACAAATGCAGATTCCAGTCCAAGACGACTTGCTTAATGCAAGGGAAAAGGACTTCAGAGGTGAGGAGTGAATGTAGTGGTGCGTTATGGTATAGACAGAAGCATTTAAGGGAAAAAGACAAGCACGTTAGGCTACTACATAACCTTTCAGGTTTAAGCACCACTACCAGATACCCTAACATCACTTTCCAAACCACAGATCTCAGAGGAATAGACTCAATGGGAAACAACAGGTCATTCTTCCTCACCACTATTGTTACAAAAGCTAGGGAAGAAATAAAACTAGACATTAAGTGTGTTGAGATAGAACTTCACAGGCACTATTTAGTTCTTAGAAAGGTCAGCACACTTGATGCAATAAAATGCACATATATATTTTAAATACTGAAGAAAAAAATACTTATGTTCCATATTTTACTGGATATTCAATGAGAACTAACAATAAGCAATCCTAGATTTGCTTATTCCAAATACATTATGATCAACATAAATTTCAATTTCCAGAAATGCATCTATTATTTGGACAAATCTATTACATGCTAACTTATATCCTTCCCCTTTCACTTACATTATGGGTATGCTTTCTTATGTAAACAGAAATTAGTACCTTTTATAGGATACCTGCTAAACAAACATCATAAGTCCCATACATTTTTCCCACACTAGATATTAAAAAGAAAACATGCAAGCATTCCTGTCACAGTTTCTCCAGGACACAAGTGTTCTCTTACAACATTTCCTAATAAAATAATCTACAACTAATTTGAAATAAGTACAGCACTTATGACTTTCTTCATACTAAAGTTCCTGTACAACATTTTATGATGTATTTACCTTAGAAATACAAAAGGTTTTCATTTATTTATACTGCACTTACCTACGACAGTGTTATACTGTTGATGGGAATAACTTTTCTTCACCATAATGCTCACATTCTAGAGGAAAAGCACTAAAAGGCAAAGACATATGTATTTGTAGTATTTGTAATTACTTGGCATGTAAAAACTTCTGATACAAAATGCAAGTACAAATTATTGGAATTGCATTAGTTTTCTTAGACTGTTAAGGAAAGTCTAGCAGATTTTTTTCATACTCAGCATAATTTATAAGGCTCAGAAGTCAGACATCATTCAAAAGTATGCATCATCTAAAGAGAAAAAATAACACATACAGTGTAAGCATTCTAAATTACACAAATCCCTTTTCTTGATATGTGCTGGTTACATGGGCTGTATGGGCAATCTGTCCAAAAAAAAAGTCATCCATCTCACAGCTTGATTTTCTGTTTAATTTTCATTTTTCATCTCTGTCAACATAAATGAGCACACTTGAACAATAAGTTTCAGCCCAGTACTAGGGAATATTGCTATGATGTAAACATTCTTGGTTAAAAAAATATATGACTAAATATCAGTATAATGGCAAACACACCATAAAAGCCAAGCTAGTAAAGCGATGTCATAGGAGTGAAATGACTATTATGTTCAAGTATAAAAAGAAAGAGAAGGCAAAGGAAGCTATGAAAAAAAAAGTCAAAATAGTATTACATAGAAGGAAAACTAATTAGATCTTCATTAGAAACATTCCAAATAGACTGAGGATAAAAAGTGAAACAAGACTGGAAGACCTGTAAGAAAGCAAGTAATATCAGAGTAACTAAGAAGCCCAACTAACATCAGCTACTAGAGGTCTTATTTTTCTGATGTAATTTGATACTTGCCCAAGCACCACAGAGAGATTGTCTGAAAAGCAAGGAGAGGAGGTGTGAAGACAAGAAAAGTGATGACAATGTTCCAGGTGACTGACAACAGTCACACACCTAACACCTGCAGAAGTATAAAAGGAATCTCTAGCTCAGTTTTAGAAACACAAGGTCAGTGGCAAAAGATAGCCAGGCTACTGGTCCATATCAACACATAACTTAAACAGAATATTGACTCAAATTTACTGGAATAAATTTAGCCACAAGACTGTAGTAATACCATCCCAAAACAAATGCCATCCCAAAACAAATTACCCAATGAAGAAGCACCTAATGTCAACTGTATTTATTGGGTCCATAGAGAATTAAATATTTCTGACAGTACTGTTTCTACCACATTTGATGTAAGAAGCCAAAAGGCAAAATTTACTACTTGGATTCACCAAGCTAGTAAACCACTAGCTCTGGAATTACAGTAGTTATTGCTAGCTCAGGAGGGTTTGCTCAGTTCTCTGCTCCATTACACAAACATGTTGTAATTCACCCATATGCATTAGAACTGCAAAACTCTCAGGCACTTGAACTCACAACTTCAGTGATGTTTTTCCTGCATTATGATAGGTGACTAAATACTTCAACAAAGTCAATGAAAGTACCAAAGGAACCATTCCCTAAAGACATCTATTGCCTAAGGGTTAAAAAAGCAATTTGTGATATTTGAAGAGGACAGATAGACAACTCTTCTCTCAAAGAGACATTTTTACTCTGATAAATGTTTTACACACTGATGATCTGCACACAAAATTTGCTTAATAGACAAAGACTCTAACTCGGAAAATCCAGTTTGCTTCAAAAGTTTGTTTTTCATTCTCTCTGATGAATAAAATTCTACACAGAGAGCAACTGAATGAGTTTTAATGGAACTATACAGGTGTGTAAACAAAGTGATCCTTCAATTCACCAGTATAATCAATCTATTTTTTATATAAATTCATGTTGTGTAGTTGTATCATCCTGAAGAACTCGGAACACTGAAAACTCCCTAAGAATCCATACAGAAATAGACATATAGAAAACAGATAAAAGGCATTGAAGATAAACACTAATATTACACACATGGTGAATAAACAGGTGATTTAGAAAAACATAGTCAGGATCTGTCTGTTCCATTATACACTTGGTATATTCAACAGCTTTGCTGCTATTGTTCCAAGTTCACACATCACCCAAAAGAACACATTAAGGAACCATATGCTGCTACAGAAAATCTGTGAAGTCAAGCAACTTTACCTATATATACGCTGGAGAAATTTTTCTTTAAATCCTCTTAATATTTTCCTCCTTGATTCAGTATTCAAAACCTAATCGTGCAGTGCAACACCAGCTACAAGAAAAATTCTTGCAGGGCTGCAAGAATTTGATCAAACCATCTAATCATATCCGTACTAAAGTTCTCCTTTTGCAAGTGCCCTGGCAAAAACTGCCAACTCTTTAGATTACATCACTACCAAAGATCATACATGCCCACTCAACCTCAATTTCTCTCACAACTACTGCTGAAAAATATTCTGAACATCCCTAGGTTAGAGAGATATAAGTCTGCACAGTTCTCTGAATCTCAGTTGAAAATGTCCTGTTTAACACTACCAAAGACTGCCTCACAAGAACCCTGTTCTATAGCAATAAAGACTCTCTAGGACACTATATAAGACAGAGTAAAAGAATAACTCATTTAAGCACCTTCCTTATTCAGACGTTTCTCAAATGCCTAAGTCTGCAGCAGTAGCATCACTGTAATTATATGCAAGTTTACATATTCCAAGGTGTTGTCACAACAATTCAAGTGCACAAGTCACCTTTAAAACACAAACTATCTACTTAATTCCTTTTTCATGTTCCAGATTTATTCCTAAATAAACTGATAGAGAGAATATCAAAGCTGCTAAATAAAACATTCCAGTGCCAGGAGTGACGAAGGTAAATGAAACACGCAACCATAACTGCTCCCTTAGGTATCACATGCAATGCCTTTCACAGTTTAATTACAAAATCCTATATCACTGCTAGTACCAGCATACTAACATTTTTCTCCAATTTTAAGAAAAGCATTTACTAGCAGAAGAACTGTAGAGGAAAGTAAAAAAATTGACAGAGATTTAAACTAGATTGGAAGAAGGAAAAGGACAAACAGGCTTGCCAGTGATAAGCAATGGGATGGCACACCAAAACTTGAGGAACTGAGTGACAATGAGATCCCTAATCTGCTCCATGTCAGCTACAACAAACCATACTTGAAATGTTTCTATGCCAACACACACATCGCACTAAGAACAAGAGGAGTTCAAAACTTGGCCCAGTCCCAGAGATTTGACATCACTGGCACAAGTGAAACCTAGTGGGATGAGTCCTGTGACTGGTGTGCCATGTTCGATAGTTGCAGGCTCTTTAGGAGGGACGGGAAGGGCAGGTGAGGCAGTGGGGTGGCATTGTATGTAATGGAGGGGCTGGAATGTATGGAGCTCACAGTTGGCAGTGGCACATTTACAAGCCCCTGGATAAGGATTAAGGGGCAAACAAATAATGTGGATGTCATCCTCAGAGTCTGCAACAGACCTCTCAGACAGGACAATGACACCAATGAATTATTCTTTGAGGAACTAAGATACTTCCCAAACAACTGCCCTCATCCTTATGGGGGATTTCAACTTGCCAGATGTTAATTGGGAGCATCATACAGCTGGCACAAACAGGTCCAGAAAATTCTTAAAACATCTGGATAATAACCTCATGGTACAGTTACTAAAGGAAGTGAAAAGGAAAAGTGCCCTCCTTGATTTGTTCCTTGTCAGATTGGATCTTGTGAGAGAAGTGGAGATTGGCAGTCACCTTGTCCACAGAAACCATGAAGAGATTGAATTTAAGACCTCTGCTGTCAGGAGGAAAAGTGCCAGCAAAACCTCAACATGAGGAGAGTAGACTCCAGGCTGCTGAGGGAACCAGTAAGTAAGGTCCCCCAGGAAAATGTTTTTGAAGGTTCTGGGGTCTATCAGTGCTGGTCATTTTTTAACTACCACCTCCTAAGGGCACAGGAGCAGGCAACTCCAAATTGCCAGAAGTCAAGCAGATGAGGCAGAAGGCTGGTTTGGCTAAGCAGGGATCTTCTTTCGGACATAAGGCAAAGAAGGAAGGTGTATGTCCAGTGGAAGCAAGGTCAGGTGACACGGGAGGAATACAGGGATGATGCTTTCTATTGCAGGGGGAAAATGCATGCGCCAAAGCTCAGTTGGAGTTGAAGCTGCCAGAACTGTGGGGGACAATAAAAAGAGTGTTTTAATACACGTTAACAGCCAAAGGCAGTTGGAAATAACATTGGCCCATTAGAGAATGAGGATGGTCACCCCACAAACAGGGACAGAGACAAGGCTTTCTTTGCTTCAGTCTTCAACTCCAATGATGGTGGAAGGAGGTCCCAGCACCATGATCTGGAGAACCATGGCTAATGAAAAACTCACAGTTGATTCTGAACATGCACAAGATCTGCTGCTCCAAATGGATCCCAACAAATCTATGAGGATTGATGGGATTCATCTGAGAATACTCAAAGACATGGCTAATGTTATCACGAGGCCTTTCTTGATGATTTTCAAATGGTCTTTGGAATCTGGAGGGGTCCCAGTTGACTGGAAGCTGGTTAACATTGTCTCAGTTTTAAAGAATGGCAAGAAGGATGACCCTGGAAACTACAGGCCTGTCAGTCTCACTTCAGTGCCTGGTAAAACTGTGCAGAAGATTATTCTGAGAGATACTGAAAAACACCTAAAGGACAATGTAGCGATCAGTCACAGTCAGCACAGCTTCATGAGAGAAAAGCCCTGCTTGAAAAACTTCATGTCCTTTTATTACAATGTAACCCACCTAGTTGACCAAGGGAAGCTCACTGATATAATCTTTTGGGATTTCCTTATAGATTTTTGATACTGTCTCCCCAGGATCCTTCTCCCAGGACAAAATCATGCGATGGGTTAGCAACTGGCTCACGGGTTGGTCACAAAGAGTTATAGTGAATGGAGTAACATCAGACTGGTGTCCAGTCGGTAGTGGGGTTCCACAGGGCTCCGTCCCCAGACCAATTCTCTTCTACATCTTCATAAGCAACTTGAACGAAAGGACTGGAAGGAATACTAAGTTTGCTGACAATACTAAACTGGAAGAAGCTCTTCACTCCCTCAAGGGCAGAGAGGCCCTGA